TTCAGCCCAAACATATGCTCCGAATTTCAGCCCATTTCAGCATACCTGGGCTGGAATCGGTTGTGGAGTGGGGGAGGGCCTTAAGTGATAATTATGAAAGCGGAAAGAAAATTCAGAAGCAGTGCTGTAAGTTCTATTAATCATTCTTATTGTTTTTCTTGCACGGTTTTTCTTGTTGTTGACTTTAATCCAGATTTAATATTTAATATAAACATAATCAACACAGAGATGTTTTTTAATTTCGCAATCCAATTATAAACGAAATAAGTTTTACAAATCTGCATGACCACGACCAAAATTACTCGGTCACGGTCACTTCACGGTCACGAAGATTTTCCCAAAACTGGTCACAGTCTCGCGTGACCGTGACTCGTGACCGTGGCCGTGACCATTTTGCAGGTCTCTAGTTACTAGCCATTTGACAAGTTCACTAGTTCGACTTCGATTAACTGAATATATTGATCGTAAACATACTTCAAAGTAGCTATGTTTTTCTGAAAACTTTTATACAAGTTACGACAAATTGAAGTCAGGTTTTCTCATATTTTGTACTATGTTTGTGAATGTCTTTAATGAATGACATCATGCGGTGAAAACACCTTCAATCTTTGCCCATTCTTTTGCCCATGCTTCATGTTTTGTTTTATTACCACAAAAGATATAAATTGCGTTCACTTGTGACAAATCATGAATTTGTGGTACGAGATCCTGTCCCAATGCTCCTGAACAAATAATGAAAGCTTTTTCATTATCCATATCATTCAGGAATTGAATGCATTGTGCTGGAGTCGTACAGAGATTGACTTCTCTGACGACACTGCGCAATTTCGCCAGCGTGTTTGCACAATCTTCATTCTGTTCATTGGTGTTGCCATCGACCCATATTAGTAAATAATTTTGAACTCGACCTTGTCTTGGTCGGCTAGCAACGGCTAACGATGCTACAGTTGAAACAGCACCCGTTGCTGATTCCGAAATATTTTTCTTGGATTGTTGTCCACCCATGTATGGAAAATATTGCTTATTGATTCAAAAAGATAAATAATTATTGGTTGTTTATATATGTGATACCCACTAGTTTTTCTTTTCTAGATTTTTCTACAGCGTCAAATAGGAGTATCTTTTTTTCGTCGAAAATTAATAACAAACTGCACCTAGTTTCAGTTGAAAATATGGTTGTCGACAAAAGAATGAAATAAAAAAAAACAATGACATCATTTCTTTTCATGCTTTTTCTTCCCAACTTATGTTTGCTCTTCATCTAAACAATCACTTGAGTATTGATCCATTATAGATACCTTTTCTCATTCACCACTGTTTTGTTTTTGATTCCTTCAGAGCAACTTTTTTTACTTTTTGGCAAGAAGGAAAGGAATAACAATGAATACATTATCAGTTTGATATCTTTAGTATGGTTCTAATTAGCACTCTGACAATGTGAGCGAAAGAACAAGAGAAGTAAATTTAATTTTGATTGAAGCAGCAGTCAAATCAACAATTTTTATCTTTATCAAATACAATGCACATCATTAGTCGATGACTCGGACAGGAAAGAATGGTTTCTATCGTACTTAATCTTCAGTAATCTTTACTGCATTCCGTAATTACTGGAGTGATGAAGAAGAATTCAACAGAGACTTTCGTATAGATATAGCAAGCAAAAACAGAGTTTTGTCGCATAATTTCATTTATGAGTTTTAGCTGTATCATGCACTTAATAATTCGAATTCGAATTTGAACCAATATTCAGAGCAGAATTAAACTTTGTTGCGATTGCGAGTCTGTGTGAATAGAAGTCGAACTGTCAAACTCATAGCCACACACATCCTTCTAAATTCAAAGGTTATAAAAAAGCTTCTATCTGTATAATATATGCCGCATCTCTTTGCACAAAAAATACAAGCTTATTCAGCGAAATAAAAATTCACTGTAATGTTGAGTGCATGATTCCTTCGGGTTTCTTCTGTAAATGCAATTATGACAAACATGAAATATCAAAAAAAGGTACATTAACAACGAACCAACCAATAAAACGAATACACGAACCGATGAATTTTTATTGTTGTTGCCAACATTTTCTCTCTTTTCGTTCTTGTCTGTTGAGCCCATGGCAATGTAAGAGTGTCGTGTGTAAACAAAGGAGTACTGCAGAAACGTTCTACTGTATTTTTTCTTCTTTTCATGTGCTTGCATCTCAAAAGTACTTTTTTCTGCTCTATTGACGAGTTTCAATCAATTAGAATACATTAAAATTAATTCTATACTGTTCATTACATCACATTGATTTCGTCTTTTCATGGTTATTGATTCAAAAGCATCTAATTTTGCAAAAACCTATAGATTAAATATGATTAACATCCCGTTGAAAGATTGTTAAAATCGAATGAATGTTAAATAATTAATTTTATAGAGCTTTCATTTTCGTTTTAGGTTAATAAGAATATTAAAAAACTTGTCATGAAGTACACAGAGTTTCTTTCAGGAGCCTTTTTAGTTTGCAAAAACGTTTGCATCATAATATTGAAGAGCAGGGTGGACATTAAGTTTAAAACTCAAGAACTGATTTTAGTTGGCAACCTCATTAATGACGATACTGATTCACTTATGTTCCTCGATGAATATGATCGAGAAATTTCATAGCTAAATCCACCTATGTCTTCATTCCTGTATGCCAGTAGAGTTGAATGCCGAATTATAGGGTGGGTGTAGGTGTGGGTGTGGGTGTGGATGTGCGCGTGGGTGGGGTGTGGGTGTGGGTGTGGGTCGGTGTGGGTGTGGGTGTGGGTGTGAGTGTGTGGGTGTGGGTGTGGGTGGGTGTGGGGGTGGGGGTGGGTGTGGGGGTGGGTGTGAGGGTGAGGGTGGGGGTGTGGGTGGGGGTCGGTGGGTGTGGGGGTGTGGTGGTGG